AAATTTAATAAGAGTGAAGATGTTGAAATATATGTATGTATATAAACTGATTTGATGAAAACTTTTTGGAACCGCTGACTTTACCGATAGTTTCCATACGTTACCACTCCGTCCATAAGTAATTGATTGTTATTGTATGTAATGAAAGTTAAAGTAGAACAGATTATCTACCTAAAATTACAAAAAAGGGAAAAAAGAGGATGACGTGCCGTTTATGGCTACAATTATTCATCTCTTTTCATGTAGTACGTAAGCCGGGGACGATTCTAGAGGTTCTCAATAACTTTTAACAATTTTGATTGTAATTCATTTTAAGCACCGTTTGAACGATTTTGATGATTGAAAATGATTATTAAAAGTTGTTAAAATTAAATAAATTGGAATGTATTGTGCAAAACCGTACTTATCTTATCAACTTCGACGTCACCTATTACAGGGGTGTTGTATGATAATGAAAAACTAATATTAACGGTTGGTAGAAGGAAGCACAAAAAATAAGCGCTTAGATGGGGAAATTCTGGAAGGAAGCCTAAATAGTTGAAGATAGGCAGTTGAAGTGAGAACAGTGTGCAGATAGGTAGCAAGACGATCGGTGGGCAGTGTGTCAAAAGTAGTGAAAAATTAAGTGTTTAACCGGTATTAGTTAGCAGGTAATATTCTTTAAGTACTTTGTTGTTAATTGTTCTATGTAATCTTACAATTGTATGTTTAGCTTTCATTGTTTTATACTCAGGGGCGTATATTTTTCTAAGGTAAAATTGTTACAATTATTATTAAAGATTGTTCAGTATTTATTACATGTTAAAATATGTATATTTTGTCGTGACTGCCCAGATATTGCAACAGCAACTTCTTTGTTTCACTTTTAACTTGTTTTATCACGATTACGTTGTTCTTTGATTTCTTGTTCTCACTTTATGTCATACGCATATAAGAGCTTTGTTGAATTTACTAACATTTTCGCCCTTGATTATTATTATTGTTGTTGTTCTCCGAAATCTCAACTCATNAACGATTTTTGAAATGTACGATTTTCTAAAACAACGATGCAGCGTAAAATTTTGTTTAAAACTTTTCACGACTTAAAAGTGGTCGTCAGTCAATTGATCCTCGACCAGAAAGGTCTGAAATTTACAAAAATAAAGTTCGATTATTTTCTGAATAGACCTCGTACATAGAATTATGATGCTTTAATTGTTTCTGTGTATTTTTGTATTTTAGATTTTTACAGTTTTGAAAACATTAAACAAAATGTAAAATGAGAACAATAGATTTTCTTTTACATAGACGTACCTATTAAGATTTCATTGCTTAATGTTAATAAACCTTAAACATACATTACTGATTATTCCAATAATTTATTTGCAGACATATTGGTCAAATAAGTAATTAACCATTTACAGAGTTGATTGCATTTTCCATTATGTGATATACTGAGAATTAACTGACTAAACTTAAAATTTGAATGGTTGTTTGAATAAGAGAGAAGAATATTATGAGTAAATCTTCGAAAATATCTTCGATATTAAGGTACCGGCGTTGAAATTTGAAAAAACAACATACTTTCTAAAACACTTCTGAAAACATTTGAGATACTTAAAGTTTTATATAACTGAAAATAAGAATCGACTAAATTTAAATATAAATGTCCGAAGACACTATCACTAACAACCCCTGAAATTTGGCGTCAAAGTATATTTCCATCACTCTTACAATACTAGTTATTCTGAGAGACTCCTTCTCCCTCATTTTATTCGAAAAGCAGACCATTTTCTAATTATTATTATTTTTTATTAACGTTACATCAGATACTGTTTCTAACTTCTTTAAATCTAAAACCACTTTAGAAATAGATTTTCGTTTCATAAAAATGTCAATGAAGTAGAAAAACTGTACTTTTTCTAACAAACTGCAACATTTCTACGTCAATGACTTTTTCGAACTTCTCATGAATACGTTGTAAATAATTATACACCCTGTTCAAGAACTTATGTCAAAAATTTAAATGGGTGAAAAGGAACAAAAACTGAGTTAACTGTCACAAACTTCTATCGGAAGTTTAAGGTCATAGAGAAAAAAGCTAATTAAAAATGTGTTTAAAACTGTTTTGGAACTGCTGAAATACATGTATTTTATCGCGACGAGTACTTACAAAAAATTCTGTAACATTTTTTACGAGTTTGTAGGTTTCTTATGAAGCCAGACTGTATTCGAAAGTCAGTTTGTAATACATTGTTGTAGTGATTACTGTGCTGTTTTTCGAGAGCACATTTTCTTTTGAGAAAGGCACATTTATTTAGCAATCGCGAATATTATCATATGCTCATAATTTATGGCGAAGCAAACGAAAATGTCCACAGAGCAAGTGCAAGTGCACAGCAAGTGTACCGTGCAAGATATCCTGACCGATGTGCCCCCGCACCGCGAACATTTGTTGCTGACTGCAAAGAGTTTTGAACTCCGGTGAAGTACAACCGCGTCGATGTCGCGACGGTGGCCCAGGGCGACCACTAATAATCTGTCGAGGAGATCATTTTAGATCCGCATCGTAGCACTACAAATATCTCACAGCAAGTAAATATTTCGCATCCTGTTGTATGGTGGACATTACGAGAAGCTCAGTTGTACTCATTTCATATTTACGGTGTTCAAGCGCTTACTTCTGCTGATTTTTCACTACGTCGAGGTTTTTGTGAATGGTTGCTTCAGGAACGTGCAAGAAATCCTCGATTTACAGCTAGACCAAGCAAATTAAATTTTTACTCGAAAAAAGTCCTATCCGCTAGATTATTGTAAAATTGTCTAAAGGAACATAATACAAGACATCTCTCGTCTCGNAAAAAAATAAATACACACAACGTAGGTATTCCTTATGATGATCACACATTTTTGGCAACAACTACGTTTATATTTGTTTTTTTATCGAACCTGGGGTTGTTATACTACAGTATGTATAATAATAGTTTGCAATTAATTCTCTCAATTCGTTTCGAGTAATAAACTTAGTTTAGTTAAAAGTTAAAACAATATTTTTGCTGCAATGCGCCTGCCAGTTCGTATTTTTTTTTCTAACACAAACCACAAACCATTTTAATCTGAAGTTCACCATAAATAGTGATACAAGGAATTTAAGAGAAAATCGAATATATGTACATAGAAGTATTACATGGATGGTACCATATGGTACTCACTAGTTGTGCATCCTAGGATGGTGTAAAATGTTGTTATTGCAAATACTTATTGCCTGAGTGCACACTTTAATAGAAAGTTATTTTACGAATCAAAGACTTCTGAAATTTATCTTAAATCTACAGCGTTTTTTTTTCTACTTGTAGAATGTATCGTATCGTTATTTTAACTAGAAAATCATTTAAACCATGAAAATGATTTATTGCAATATCTATAGATATATTTGAAAAACTACTTTTTATATAAACGACGTCCTTGAAAAATTATCGATCCGGCAAGAAAAGAACTGTTTAAAAATTACTGATATTGGTGTTTAATTAAAGTTTAAATTAATTGTAATTACTTATAAATTGGTTTACTTAATTATTTTATTAGTGTGCAGCCTTTTTTATTGTTTACTATTTCTTAGTTAAAATATGTATTTTAAGAAATATAGGGTGCGTTGTAAAAAAAATAAAAATTTGTAGGTGATCGATATATCTTGGGAAATATATGAATTTTTTTAAACAATTGATGATAATTGAATTCTTATAGTTGTCACTCATCTTTAAGACACAAAAATTTTAGTTAGTGTCACTTTAGTATTTTTTTTCTCAGAAATGTATGTAACACTGTTTTGATGCCACTGGAAAGAACAGTAACAGTTGTAATACTGTTACTGTCAAGTAGAGATGTCGAAAAAGTATCAATTCGTTACATGAGTACTCGTTACTCGATTGGATCTGAAGTAACGATTACTCGTTTGAAAAAGTATTCGTTACTTTTGCTTATTCTTGGATATAGACAATATAGAGTACTTTATCTAATGGAATATGGATACTTACTTATGCAATGCTCACTTGACACTCATTCATAATATATCGATACGAAACGAGTACTTGTTTTGTTACGTTGCATTCAAGTTTATTTGTTTTGTATACCATATTTTTATACCTACTTATATTAGAAAAAAATATTTCCTATAAAAGACTGGAAACATGCATAAGACTGTGTATATAATACATAATCTAAAAAATAATATGTACTTTCTATTTTTGTTTATTTTAATACTGATTGTTTATTTTCAAAATATATATTTATATTCGTAATCTGATCGTTGCATTATAATTATATTTTTTTATCAAACAAACCTTAATATTTCAGATATTAACGCTGCATTTCTTTTTTAAGAGAAATTGAGGTTAGGTTATATTCATAATATGATACTGTTTGATATTTACTCGTCTATAACTTAGAGTACTGTATATTAGGTAATTACTGATTACTATTCTATTTAGAATATTTTGAAGCCACTACTCATAGTAATCAAAGTAACGAATACAAAGTACTGATTGCTTAAACCGAAAGTAATCGGTACTCATGATTACTCAAAAGTAATCATATTTGACATCTCTACTGTCATGTGATAAATCTATGAATTTTTCTCCAGAAAGCTTAGAAAAGCACATGTGATACAGTTCTGTTAGAAGCTACATTTAGCAGCACTTTATTTATAATAATAATTTTACGATTGTTCCACTGTATTTTGTATATGGTTCCAATCTAACGTTTCTGACATGTCAGATTAATATATTATTTTGAAGAAAAGTGTTAACGACTGAGTGGACTGTATGGTTATGGTTGTAATTAGGTCTAATAATGCTTCCCAATGTTCTTTAATATTTATTACGGAGCTCTCATCACTGTGAACGCTACAAGCCAACTGAACTGGTCTCTGCGGCGCAGCGCAGTTGCATATCATTCATTCTAAAAAAGTCGGGCACAAAAAGGAAGTCTAAATAATAATAACCTGCGTTAAAATAGCAAAAACGTGATTTTAAAATCAGCCTTTATTGTCATGTGTATATACATAAACTACATAATAAATGAAAAGCTAAAACAAATAAATTATAAATAATAACAGTTTCAAATTGCAGAAATAGGTTTAACCTCTCGGTGTCGTTATCAGGCCATATCCTCCTCCCCCAACGCCGCCATTGTGTTTCTTTCCTTTACAATTCGTGCCATATAATATATCGTCCACTTTACCGGCTAAGATCCTAAAGTTAACTTCTGAAGTAGACAGTGTATCGGCTGCTACTTTTTGAAATCTTGATGTTAATATCCACAGCTCTTGAATTCCTTTACGGTTTTTCACTACCTAAAAACATAATTCAAATAATATATCTACGAAGATAGGTACTGAAGATACGAGGTCTGTTGAGAAAATAACCGAATTTTTTTAATTATGTGGTAATGGAGAAATTTAATGATATGGTTGGCAGCATTGCGTTACGCATAGCCTCCTCTGTAGCCACATAGTCTTGGATTGTTGATATCTCATTTAGTTTTCGTGATATTGATATTTGAGTGTAACGTATTTAAGAGTTAGCAACGATTTTTGAAATGTGCGATTTCCTAAAACATCGATGCAGCGTAAAATTTTGCGTAAAACTTTTCACGACTTAACAGTGGTCGTCAGTCAATTGATCCTCGACCAGAAAGGTCTTAACTTTACAAAAATAAAGTTCGATTATTTTCTGAATAGACCTCGTACATATAATTATGATGCTTTAATTGTTTCTGTGTATTTTTGTATTTTAGATTTTTACAGTTTTCAAAACATTAAACAAAATGTAAAATGAAAACAATAGATTTTCTTTTACATAGACGTACCTATTAAGATTTCATTGCTTAATGTTAATAAACCTTAAACATACATTATTGATTATTCCAATAATTTCTTTGCAGACAAATTGGTCAAATAATTAACAATTTACAGAGTTGATTGCATTTTCCATTATGTGATATACTGAGAATTAACTGACTAAACTTAAAATTTGAATGGTTGTTTGAATAAGAGAGAAGAATATTATGAGTAAATCTTCGAAAATATCTTCGATATTAAGATACCGGCGTTGAAATTTGAAAAAACAACATACTTTCTAAAACACTTCTGAAAACATTTGAGATACTTAAAGTTTTATATAACTGAAAATAAGAATCGACTAAATTTAAATATAAATGTCCGAAGACACTATCACTAACAACCCCTGAAATTTGGCGTCAAAGTATATTTCCATCACTCTTACAATACTAGTTATTCTGAGAGACTCCTTCTCCCTCATTTTATTCGAAAAGCAGACCATTTTCTAATTATTATTATTTTTTATTAACGTTACATCAGATACTGTTTCTAACTTCTTTAAATCTAAAACCACTTTAGAAATAGATTTTCGTTTCATAAAAATGTCNAGAAATCTAAATAAAAAATTTGAAACAATTGGAACTGTTAACGACTGAGTGGACTGTATGGTTATGGTTGTAATTAGGTCTAATAATGCTTCCCAATGTTCTTTAATATTTATTACGGAGCTCTCATCACTGTGAACGCTACAAGCCAACTGAACTGGTCTCTGCGGCGCAGCGCAGTTGCATATCATTCATTCTAAAAAAGTCGGGCACATACCCCCCATCTTGAAAGGCTAAGCCTTCAACAGAAAATAGTACATTCATGTATGTATAAGAATAAACATATGAAAATAAACAAGATTGTATCCCACATAGGATTTATAAACATAAACAGGTAAGTATGAGTACTAAAGGCTATAAATTTCACTTGTCACTTTGACTAAGTTCACTTTCTTGAGGCAACGGACAAACTTGAGTGATTGCTCGTTTGAACGAACCGCGAGAAGTTTGGACTGTTACAACACGCACAACACCGTCACATCCAGGATACAGATGAGTGATTCGTCCCAGTGGCTACTGACATGAAGGTAAGTTTTCATTTTTTAATAGAACAAGGGTTCCTACATCTAATGGCTGGGAATGTTGTTTCCATTTACTTCTTATTTGCAGAGATGACAAATAATCCTTTGACCATCTTTTCCAAAAACTTTGGTTGATGTGCTGGAGTAATTGGTATCGTGACATTTTATTGAGTGGAATGTCTAATACATTTGGATCTGGAACTGTAACCAGGGACTTGTTGATCAAAAAGTGAGCTGGAGTTAATGGTGTGAGATCATTTGGATCAGAAGACATGGGATACATAGGACGGGAATTAACAATTGCTTCAACTTGCACAAGGATTGTGTTTAATTCCTCGTAAGTTAATTTTACTTCACCAATGACCTTTAGCAAATGAGATTTAACACTTTTGACTCCGGATTCCCACAATCCTCCGAAATGTGGTGAGGTAGGCGGAATGAAATGCCATTCAATATTGCTTTTAGAACATTCTATCAATATTTCACTTTTAGACTTTTCAAAGAATGCATGTAAGCTATTAAGAATTTTTGAAGCTCCAACAAAATTTTTGGCATTATCTGACCAAATGTGACGGGGATAACCACGTCTGGCAGAAAAACGTCTTAAGGCTGCAAGAAAACATTCAGTAGTCAAATCAGAGACTAGCTCTAAATGAACTGCTTTAACGGAGAAACAGATAAACAGGCACACATAAGCCTTCGTGACTTTACACCCGCGTCCCTTACGGTCTTTTACGTAGAATGGACCTGCATAATCGATACCTGTTACAAAAAAAGGAGTCATTGCAGTAACTCGATGTTTAGGTAGATCGCCCATAAAATTTGGAACAAATCTTGGTTTAAATTTAAAGCAAGTTAAACATGATCTGACCGTTCGTTTTGATAAGTTCATGCCAGCAATAGGCCAATAGTGTTGTCTAATAGTATTTAATAGAAGCTGTGGACCAGCGTGTAATAGTCTGATATGCTCGTGTTCAAAAATAAGTTTTGTTAAAGGATGTTTGCTATGCAATAGTAACGGATGTTTTGCATCAAATTGTAAGCTCGAATGCTTTAATCGACCACCGACCCTTAAGAATCCGCAACTATCTATAAACGGAGTTAAACCTAATAATCCTTTTGACTGAATTGTTCGATTATTATTTAATAATTCAATATCATGACTAAATGATTCAAGTTGACTTAATTTAACTAATCGGTTCATAGCATCTTCTAGTTCTATAACTTTCAGAGCACCAGTAATTCTATCATGCTTTGGTTTCTTTAAATTAAAGACAAATCGAAAGCAATATGCTGTGATACGTTTCAATTTTGAAAGAGTAGAAAATTTACAAAATATATCTAAATTATCATTCTGTATTGAGCTAAATGATTTATATTCCTTTTTTATTTCAGGAAGTTCATCAGGACTAGGTAAGGAAATAGAAGTTGGCCATTCTGAGTTACTTTTAGAAAGCCATGATGGTCCTTTCCACCAAAGATCGGAATTTATTAGAAGATCAGGAAATAATCCTCTTGACGCGACATCAGCTGGATTATCTTTCGATCCAACATGAAACCAATTATTAACATTTGTGAGACTCTGAATTTCGGCTATTCGATGACTAACAAAAGTATTTAATTGAATCGGTTGTAATTTTAACCAACAAAGAAGAATTGTTGAATCTGACCAAAAGAATGATTTGGGTTTAATCGTGAGAGAACGTAAAACTTGGCTCATGAGTCTTGCCAAAATCACAGCGCCACATAGTTCTAAACGTGGAATGGTCTGAGACTTTAATGGTGCCACCTTGGTTTTACTACATATTAAGTTGACATGAATTTGTCCATTTGACGAAGTGGATTTGCAATACAGCACTGCGCTATATGCAAATTGTGAAGCATCACAAAATCCGTGAATTTCTACCATGTGAGGAGTTTCACACAGAATTCTTCGTGGAATGCGTAAGTCATTGAGTTTGAAGAAATTGTGGCGAAAACGTTGCCATTTGGTTTCAATGTCCGATGGAACATTATCATCCCAATCTACCTTCTGAACCCAAAGATCTTGAATGAGAATCTTTGCCAAAATGGTGCATGGGCTGAGAAGTCCAAGCGGGTCATAGATTTTTGCAATGTCAGAGAGAATTTTTCTCTTTGTAACTGGAAGTTGAAGTTCATTTGCGATATGATACGTAAGATAACCTGGTTTGCATAGCCATTGAATTCCCAGAGTTTTTATTTGTTCATTGTCACCAAATCGTAACACACTTATTGTATCACTATCGTCTTGGAAATGGTTTAATACCTTGTCGCTGTTGGAAGACCATTTTCGTAAGTGAAAACCAGCAGATTCAAAAATATTAGAAATTTCTTGGCATGTACTGATGGCTTCTTGCTCTGTGTCAAAACCTGTGATAAGGTCATCCACATAGAAGTCTCGTGCAATTATATTGGATGAAACAGGACATTTTTCCTTGAAATCGATTGATAATTGTTTAATGCAACGAATGGCCAAATATGGGGCAGACGTTGTTCCATAAACAACTGTGTTTAAATTATAAACTGAAATAGGTGTTTTGGGATCATCACGCCAAACAATTCGTTGTAATGGACGATCCAGTGGGTGCACTAAGATTTGATTATACATTTTTTCGATGTCTGAAGAAACAACTATTGCATGTTGTCGAAAACGAACAAGAATGGAGAAAAGATCATTTAAAATAGGAGGACCAATATATTGAAGATCATTTGAAGATACACCATTGTCAGAAGGAGCTGAACCATTGAAAACAATTCGCATCTTGGTCGTTAAGCTTGTTTCACGAACAACAGCATGATGTGGGAGGAAATACGATAATTGAGATTCGTATGTTTTTGGTAATAGCGACATATGACCTAGAGATTCGTAGGTTTTTAGAAATTCGATGTATTGGGTTTTCATTGTAATGTTGTGTTGAAACCTTCGTTCTAATTGTAAGAGGCGTTTAATCGCATTAGATTTAGATTCACCTAATTGAGAGGGACATTGTTTGAAAGGAATTCGAACTATGAAACGACCATCGTGGTTTCTCGAAAGAGTAGTTTTAAAGAGATTTTCACATTTTTCATCTTCAGGAGATAATGGAAAAGGAATGGTACATTCTTCAAGTTCCCAAAATTGTTTTAAAATGTTATGTAAATCGATTTCCCTTGAAAAATAGCATTGTGAATTTGTTATTGGTTGACTGACTGGACCGGCAACGATCCAACCAAATATAGTGTTTTGTAGCACTGGTTTTGTCTTTCCCAAACTAATTTTTCCATCTTGTAATAGAGACCAAAAAATGCTTGCTCCTAATAGTAAATCGACTTCGCCCTTTTCATAAAAAAGTGGGTCTGCAAGACTGACATGATTTGGAATTTTCCA